ACTAGATAAATATCTGTTTTTATTTTTCTATTTTTTCTAAATCCTGCAGCACTTCAATTTTGTTAATTCACTATTCTGTTTTTTGATAAATAAAATGAAACTATTTTAAATTTTATCCTAATAAATAAATCTCCTCGTGTTGCAACGACACACCTATTTATAAATGTGAATAATAATCTAGAACAATAGCAATAAAATTTAAACAAAATGCGATAAACAACTCTCTCTCTCTTATCAATAATAGTTATTTATGTATCAAGGCACTAAAGTCTTTATTCTCATTACGAATGTGTGTTGCCGAGGCGATAGCCGAGGCAAATAAAATAGATGGGAATTACGTTTTTATCTCATCTTTACACTATAAAATCGTAGTATAATAAACTATTTTAGTGCCGATTTTAGACTCTTTACTGAAAATTTTATGTAACTTTAGTGACGATTTCGGAAAAATCTTATTTTTGATGAATGAGAAATACAAAAAATAAAGTTAACGCGTTTATCAAGGAGAGAAAAAAAGTTGTATTTTGATCTTGCATCAAAGGTTGGCTCGTTTGAAATACCAACGAGCGAAGCTCGTTGAAATTAAAATTAAAATTTTCATGTTTAAGAACAAATCATTCTTTGTAGATATGTGGCTGTCAACGGCAGCGATATAGTAACGATGGTCTCGCTTACCAGCCCCGCCGCCAGCGACACCGAAGACCCCGACCTCGACCTGAAGCCCAAAATCAAGACCTCCCCCGCGAAAACCCCCGTCATCAAAAAAGACGAAAAAGACCAATCGAAAACCGTGTCCTTGCGAAAGACCGTCAAATCGGGTAAGTACCAAAATTGCGTGTGTGACTCATCGCGACAAAACACAAACACTTATTTGATCGATTAAAACCAGTAATGAAAAAGTTAAAAGCACAACGAGTTTCCGTGCCAGAACCGATGAAAAAAAAGCCATTGTACGAACGCGAAAGCCTCATTAAAATTTTGAAAGCTTCCACTCAAAAAGCGTCAATCACCACTCGTTCGACGAAAACTTATCCCAGATTTTAAATGGAAAAACTTGCTTGTTTGTGTCTTGGAAACTTTCTGTTACGCCTATTAATTAACAAGTTTAATTGCGGAGAAGGAGTGGATCGGGCACGCCATCGCACGGCCTTCGCACTGAAGATCCGAAGGGTGAAGTACCTTATCGAGATTTGGGGGCGGCGGTGGTGGCGTGCATCACACCCCCGAGGAAAAGCAAATCAAACAAATATGTTTAATCGATTTAGGGGAGGCAAGGGATACCAAGCGTTTCTTCACACAGAAAGGGATTTTTTTCTACTGTTTGTGTGTTCTTATTATTTTCTTTTATTTCCTTTCTTTTTTAAATTTTTAACATTCAAATCTTATACACGCTGTTCCGGCTAAGCCCCACATTAGAAGTATTGAGAGTTCTAACAGAGATATTTATTTAAAATTTTGCTTATAGTCATAATTGTTTAGATCCTGCTTAATGAAAATATTTTCAAGATGGCAGCACTTCCGGTTACACAGAAAATGAGTATCAACTTTATTGCGTTTTTGGATTACTTAAGTGATTTTGAAAGAGTTTTTAACAGACTTCCCTATACCTAAATTTAACCATTTTTGTTAATTTGCATCTTCCTCTCCAAAAATCAATAACTCTATCATTTTTTATTATTTTTAAATCGTACAATATCGGAGTAAAGCAACTTTTATGGTAAAATTAAATATTATAAGAATTTAAAATCCAAACAGTAAACCCCTAATTTAAAACCTACCAGTAATAATATTTTCAAATGTTAAATAAGTTAGTTTGCAACAATTTATGTAAACAACACTCTTCATTAACGCGACAAAAATAAAGCAACTTTTTGCTTTGGTATAGAAAAAAAGAGTCTACGATTAAGGTAAGTTTATAAAAGCATATTTTCAGGTTCATTAAGCTTATTCGCAAACTTTTTTAAAGACATAAATATGCCAAGAGGGAAAAAACATTTTGATGGGATGGGAGATCTATTGTGATGTTTCAAATGAAAACTAGAAAATATTTGTTTATCGCTGAGAATTTCGTAGCTTTACCTTTTGCTTTTGATAATTATACGACACATTTCAAATAAAAATTTTATGCACTAAACTTTTCCCTGTTTTTGACCAATTGAGGAAAAAATTTAAAAAAAAAACTATAAGGTGAAAAAAATTTCCCTCAAGCTCTCCTCCATCAAGGGGTTGTCGTGCGCTCTAATAAAATCACCAAAATCTGCATAATCGAATACCGGCAATAAACTATTGGTAATAAGAGCACGACATGACAGAATTACCTCGTAAACCTTCCCCAACATGTCACAAACATAACCGTACCAGAAAAAAGCTATCGTTTTCCAATAAAATCTTCGATTACTTTAGAGTTTTTTTCCGTTTCTAACTTTAATCATGTCATATAACTGCAAGTTTTATGCGAATTATTTGTTTCTAGTCTCGTTCCAGTCATCGACCATACATGCCATCAGAAGTTTCTCGGCGAGCTTTCCAGGCAGACGCGGTTCCATGGCCATGGCTCTGACAGTGGGAAACGCCGTCAAAAACCAGAAAAACCAAGAAAAAAGGGCCACGAATTCGGCGCCCTCTGAGGACGAGGACAGAGGGCCGAAACGCAGGCTGGTGAGAAGCGCAACCGACAAAACGCAAAAAAGGTAAAACAATTGTTTCACTCATTTGGTAATCGGCGGTTGAACAGCTCGACAGTTGACGCACTCGCTTTGGAAATTTTCGAAATGTCCATTTTGACAAGCGAAACTGGATCACATAAACTCACTTTTACTCCGAATAGCATACAGAGGGCTCTAGAACTCGCGCCCTAGAGAAAAATGCCATGTAGGGTAACATACCAGGAATGTTAAAAAAAATCTATCTATAAAAATTTCGAAGTTATGAGAGTTTAAATTTTACACTTTGACTCTATTTATTTCTGTTACAAAAATAATTTTGCAAGTTTTTTGCTATAGGCTTTTACAAGAAGAAAAAAGGAAGCTGTATCTTAAATTGTAACTCTGTTTAATGTTGTTTGTGGCTTTTATTGACAAAATTTTTGTACCTTTACTAAATAATTATGAAAAAACATATGCAAAATCATCAGTGTCATTAAATAGACATAAGAAAATGTCAAATGTCAAAAAATAAATGTCAAAATTTTTTGACAGACAGAATTTTTAAACTTTTTTCCCATGTTCTTGATATCTTATCTTACTTGAAATGTTTCTCTGGGGCGCGAATTCTGACACTCTGTATACTATTTTGTCCGCAGATCGAGAGTAAAGACTATAATTAGCAAGTAAATGAACAAAATGATTAGGAGGACGGTTTGCAACTAATGAAATTATAATAACGCTAAAAAACGAAATTTCTGTTGAGATTTTCATAAGTGTTTATTTATCTAACTAGTGCAGTTAGTAGTGCAAAATGTCGAATGCTTATGACCTATTTGCCTCTCTAGAAATTGCTGAAGCAGCAAGAGGCAAAAAAGAAACAACATTGGTGAATGTTAATAAAAATAAAAACGCTGAAGCCCAAAAATTTTAACTCCATGACTAAAAGATAAAACTTTTACTTGTGACATTTAGTCATAAAAGTGGTCACTTTTGTGACGATTGCGGATAAAATAATTTTTTACTGTCGAAAAGCAACAGAAACTCAAAATCGAAAATTGAAATCAGACAAAATGAAAAAAAAACCTTTATTAAATTTTCAATTTTTGTATCGAAAGTTTAGCTTTTACTTCATTTAAACAATTTAAAATTGAAATGACAAAAAACTTTGTTGTAATAAAATTTGGTAGATCATTCAATTTTAATAAAATTCAGTTTTTATAGCTTATTATGTTTCAATCAAAATAAAACTTGTTATTCACATTTTTTGTGAATTTCTAAGGCCCCAAAATTTTTACTCCATGGCTAAAAATTAAAACTTTTACTTGTGACATTTAGTCATAAAAGTGGTCACTTTTGTGACG